AATGAAATGTGCTTTCTGGCCCCTGATTCAGGAGAGTGAATTGGCAAGCCCTCCTCACTCGGTCAGAGGCAGCAGGCAAAACGCAGATGAACCAGGGAGAAAGCACGCAGAGTGCTGTGACAGCCGTGCTAAGTGCGGGTCGATAGCAGATGCGAGAAAGCAAAGTCGATGCTTGCCGAGCGTGAAGAGACAAAATTGGTGGAGATGGACACTTTATAGACCGCACCAAACAAAAGGCAGCTCTTTAAAGACACCTAATCTGTTTCCAATTTAAGATATTTTCCTCAAAGAGATCCAAATGCATTGTAGTACTGTGTTTTATTACATCTCATACGTTTTGTGTATTCCATTTCCTGTCCCTGTGGCTACCCCTAAGACAGATAACATCTTCTTTGGCTTTTGTCATGTAGGAGAGAGGAAAAGAGATGTGAGCTCTAACCAATCAATATGTATTTAGGACCATTATGGGCACACATGCACCAAAGGCAGGAGATGGGAATTACTGAGAGAGATTGGAGAGACGCAAGGCACGTCTCCTTCGTGATTGAGCAGCTTGTTCCATTATCCCTTGCTGATTTGCTTCAGGGGTGACTAACAGCCAGGACACACAGCCCGAGAAACAAAAGCTAATTTTCAGAGGCAAGTTGTATAAACACATTCTTCTTTTATGGGGGCAGCAGGGTCACACCCGCCCTGTTGTTGTGTGCTGTGAATGTGGTGGTGGTCCCGAATTCACAGAATCTGTGTGTCACCTTCACAGACAAGATTATGCCACATGTGATGTAACACAGAGATAAATGACTTTGAAGAAAACAGGATGAAGGCTGATAAATTTTCAGAAGGAACACAGACGTGGAGAGGTAAACTAAAGATACAAATATTTTGGAGAAGAATTAAAACGAAGTACTGAACAGAAATAGAAATATTCAAGGAACATAGCATAAAAAGGATTTTTCAAAATGCTACACTGGAACATATACTACAACATTAAAAATATGGAAAATTAAAATACAGCAATGCTTTACCTGAGAATATAGCAGTACACGTGCAAACTGGACACACACACACACAAAACTGTTGATTCAGAATCCCCATCTCGGGGCCAGAGCGCAGTGTGGCAGTGAAGTCGCTGCCTGCAGCACCAGCATCCCATATGGGCACCAGTTCGAGTCTCCTCCACTTTCAATTCTGCTCTCTGCTGTGGCCTGGGAGAGCAGTGGACGATGGCCCAAGACCTCGGGCCCCTGCACCTGTGTGGGAGACCCAGAGGAAGCTCCTGGCTTCAGGTTGGAGCAGCTCTAGCCACTGTGGCCATCTGGGGAGCGAACCAGTGGACGGAAGACCCCTCCCTCCCTCTTTCCCTCCCCCCCCCCCCCCCCCCCCCCCCGCCTCTGCCTCTCTGCAGTTCTGCCTTTCAAATAAACAAATATTTTAAAAAATCAAAATCCTCTTCTTTTTGTTGTCTTGTAATTTGTGCTTTGCACTTGTTATTAACTATTTGACCCAAACAAAAACTGGGAGTAAGAGCAGGTGTCCCTGCCTTGGAGATGAGAAAAGCAAGTTCATAAAGAACTTAGACCTCAGCAGTAAGAAGGCAAACATCTCAGCTAAGAAATGGGCCCAAGACCCTAAATGGCAGCTCACTAAAGGACACAAACAAATGCAGGACATGGTGGCTCTCGTGACAGCACCAGGGAAGCACAAACTAAAACGGCAGTGGGCCGCCCCTGCACGCTGCTGAGCAAGGCCAGTCTCTAACACTGACCACGCCGGGGGCAGGCAGCGCAGGCGCAGCGGGGAGCTCTCACGCACTCCTGGAGGGAGGAAGCAGGATGGTCACACTGGTTGGGGCATTTCTTTTTTTCTTTTTAAGGTTGATTTATTTATTTGAAAGTCAGAATTACAGAGAGAAGGAGAAGCAGAGAGAGAAAGAGGTCTTCCATTCGATGGCTCACTCCCCAGTTGGCCAAAACATCCAGAGCTGTGTCAATCCAAAGCCAGGAGCTTCTTCCAGGTCTCCCACGTGGGTGCAGGGGCCCAAGGACTTGGAGCACCTTCTGATGCTTTCCCAGGCCACAGCAGAGAGCTGGATGGGAAGAGGAGCAGCCAGGACTAGAACCGGTGCCCATATGGGATCCCAGCACTGCAGGCGGTGGCTTTATCTACTACGCCACAGTGCCCATGGGCATTTCGTTACAGAAGGTATGCACTCCCACTCTGTAAGCCAACAAGTGCTGTCCTACCTATTTACCCATGCGAGTTGAAGACTTAAATCCATATAAAAACGCTACGGCCGCTATGTTCACAACCAGTGAAATTCAGAAGCACCCCAAATGACCTTCTGCAGGGTAGACAAGCTATGGGGCACCCAGACAGATGACACTGTGCTTGAAAGAAAAGCAGTCAAGCCATGAAAAGACCTGGAGGAGAGCTGCACGCACGCTACTGAGGGAGGCAAGCCAACCTGAAGAGACTGCATTCTGTGTGACATTCTGCATAATGCCAACTCCCAGCATCCTAGAGAAGAAAGCTGTGCAAACAGTAAGAAGACTAGCGAGTGCCAGGCATTCAGGATCGAGCAGGAGGGCAGGGAAACCGACCTGTGTGACCCTGTGGGGCACAGATCTGTCCTTGCACATCCGCCCAAGCCCGCAGCATGGCCCCCACACCAAGAGGGAGCCTGGCGTCACGGGGAAGCAGATGCCCCACGAGCAGGGGCGCAACCATGCATGAGGCTGCGGGGCAGCAGGGACAGGGAGTATACGGGAACCCTTTGCACCTTCGGCTTAACTTTGCTGCCAGCCTAAAATTGCTGTAAAAATAGCATCAAAGTCTAAATGAAAAATTACATTCCAGTGAAAGCGACTTGCCCAGGTTCACCCTGACAGGAATGTCCCCGCTGGCCCCAGGCCCCGTCTGCCCCAGACTCAGGGAGCACAGCTGGGCTGGGGCCAACAGCAAACTTTGCAGACAAACGGAGGGCAGTTTGGGAGCTCTGGGGAGTCTGGGGCGTGTGACAGAACAGCACGCAGGCAAGACGTGGGCAATCATTTGAGGGTCAGTTGTCAGCACTGAGCCAGGCCTCCATGTGCTGGGTCCAAGGTCACCTGCTCTGTGCTCCCACTGGGTCTTTCCTACACCCACCAGCAAGCTCACACACAGGTTGTCTATCCACAGCAGACATCACACAACAGGAAGCCATCTCATCCGTCCAGTGGACAAGCACATCGTTGTAAATCTCCACGTTCTATGAGCGTGACGGGTGCTGTACAAGGGAGTGCCGTTCCCACTCTGCTCCCATGGGCTGCGAGGGACGCATCCCCAGGGGACGCCTAAAACAGCAGACATACCGACAGCCATCCCTGGCCCAGGGCTTCCCAAGGGAACTCGAATCCCTGGACACTCAAGTGCATATCAGATGCTGTAGTCTTTGCACATAACCCACATCCCTCATCTCGCACACCTTCAGTCACCTCTAGATCCTGCACAATGCCCAATACAAGAAACAGCTGTTACACTGCACCACACGGGGAATAATGACAAGAGGAAAAGTCCACACACTCAGTACCAGGTGCGACGTTTTGCATTGTTCTGGCTCATGGCTGGTTTTGAATCTGCGGAAGCAGGTGCCACAGAGAGGGACAGTCAGTTGCACCTCCTGAACACACACCTAGGGTCAGGTCTCACGTATAAGTGAGGCAGTCACAGCAGTAAGTGATAGAACAGATCAATGCAATAGACCGCAATGAAAGTGATGTGGGTGCAGCTTCTCACTTCTCAGTGGAGGCTGACCAATGACCGGAACCGCAGACAGAAAATCCTTGATGTGGGAGACCACAGCGCACCGACCAACCACACAAAGGGTGTCTCCCTCCACATCACCACTCAGTGATGGGCCTCCAGCACCCACACACATTCCAAACACAGCTGAATGTTCAGACACACCCCGCGATGTCAGGACATTTTCATCATCGTAGTCAAAGTTTCTAATGCTGTGTCAGATGCCAAGTGTCAACCAGTGACGTCTGACCAGACGTTAGTACCACTCCTGGGTAAATTACAGGAAATGGGACAAAACCACCCCCACATGCACTCTAACGTTTTAACACCTGAGGCACTGGTGCCGGGGTTGTGGTGCAGCTAAAGGGCTGTCTTGATGCTGGCATCCCATACTGGAGCGCTGGTTTGAGCCCCAGCTGCTCCTCTTCCAATCTAGCCCCCCGTTAATGCACCTAGGAAAGTAGCTGAGGATGGTTCAAGCGCTTGGGCCCCTGTACCCACATGGAAAACCAGGATGGAGCTTTGGCCCAGCTGTTGCAGTCACCTGGGAAGTGAACCAGCGGATGGAAGGTCTCTGTCTATGCTATCTTCACATAAATAAATAAATAAATAAATAAATAAATAAATAAAATTAAATATGCAGTGCTTTCTATAGATAAGACAATGGCAAGGTGAAATTGAAACTCAAACATGGCCCCCACAGAGAACCAGCCTCCCGGACCCCGCACCAGGCTGCCCTGGGTCACGTCACTCAACAGACCCAGCAGGAAACCCAGACCCAGAGGAAACCCGGAGTCTGACTCTGACGCCATCAGGAGCCACGCTGAGTGCTTGGTGCCACCGACTCGGGCCCAGGCAGAGGAGAGGCCGTGTCGGGGGAGCTGGCCAGCAGTCTGCAGCCTTCTCACGTCACAGAGGGTCCTCTCCCATCTCCCTCACCTCGGGGTGGGAGTGGGGGTCCTGGAGGTGCGTGGATGGAAGTCTAGAGAAGAGGACACCTCCAGGTGGGAAATCGGAGTGGCAGCCACACACTGGACATCTCACAGCACCGTCAGGGGGGAACGGAGCAGTCACCTGTCAGGGTGTCCAGCTCAGTTACTGGCTTCCCCCGGCCTGCCGCCTGCCAGAACTCAGACATAACGATGTGCGGTGTCTCCATCTCCTCCCCTGTACCCACAACAGCCCAGACTGCAGGTGCTGGCTCCCAGAATTCTCTGTACCTCCTCCAAGGTGGTGTCTGAGAGGCCGTAGCCGGCCAGGCGCAGCTGCTGCTGGTTTTGGTCCAGGGCCTGGAAGAGGCCTTTGAAGCAGGCGGTGTTTGCGTCCTTGGGGATGGTGTAGGTCAGCTCTCCCCCACTGCTGCCTTTGAGAAACGCTTGTGGAATATAGACCTGGACCAGGGATGTGACACGAGCGACGTCCTCAGGATCGGAGGCCCCCAGAACAGGCGGCTGCAAAGAAAAGACACCAGGGAGGGATGTCAGTCCAACCGACCTAGAGGGTGTCCACACCCACAAGCAAATTCCCCACTTCAAAGCCCAAATGACAAATCACACCTAAGTGGAAGGCATTTCAACTGTGCATTGTAGTTTTTCTTTCTGTTTTTCCGTGATTGCTTTATTTATTTGAAAGAGAGCGAGCTCCCATCTGCTGATTGACTCCCCAGATGGCCACAACAGCCAAGGCTGGGCCAGGTACAAGTCAGTTCCTCTGGATCTCTCCACTTGGGACATCTTCCGCTTTCTCAGCAGCGTTAACAGGGAGCCAGATCAGAAAAGGAGCTGTCGTGACTCCAGCTGGTACCCATACGGGACGCCAGCAGACAGGTGGCAGCTTAGCCCACCACGCCACAAGGCCAGCTCCTTCTCAGGCCAGAAATCTGCAGTGATAAAACTGCCATGGACAGCCCGTGTGCCTGTGTGGCTCCAGGAGTCCATGCTTGCAAGGTGCCTTCAGTCCTGTGGCAGGATCAGGAAGGAGACTCGGGTCCCCTGATTACATCACCAGGACAAGGCTTCCCGGGCATAGGAGAAAGGCGCCATGCTCACAGGAAGTAAATAAAACCCTGGTCGGCTCAGAAGTCAGAGGCCACCAAGGGTTAGACACGGCCATCAAGAACAGGGAGGTGACTCTCCACACACCTCCCAAGTCCCAACCCAGAGCCACCACCCTGTCCCCAGCTGACACTGGGCAACTCCAACCACCACATGACACGGGCTCTCAGGCCCAGACCTACCCCTCCCTGCCCCCTCACGACTCTGTTTCTGAACCATGACAAACTGTGGCCTCCTACGCAAAGTGTCCTCGTTAGGAAAATCTCTGGAACATCTGGGCCACGGTACTTTCTGGCAGCCGCTCCCGTTACCTGCCAGGGAACTCTGACCTCCTGTGCACTTACTCCTGGAGGTAAAAACACACGCTAGGGTTCAGCCGCCTCCCTGCCTCATGCCGGCCTCCACTCAGCCGTCAGTATCCTACTCCCCCTCAGGGAGGGGAGCGTCCCCGGTGACGGCTGCAGCAGCACCTCTTACTTGCTGGGTGAGCGTCAGGCGGAGCCCCTGGCCGTGGGCCTCCTTCAGGCAGACGGGAGGGCCGCAGCACCTGAGCCGCCCGTGCTGGAGGACGGCCACACAGTCGCTGAGCACCTCGGCCTCATCCAGGTGGTGGGTGGTGAAGACGATCGTGCGACCTGTGTGTGAGCACAGGGACATCAGAGCAGGGCCGCCCGCCCGGGGCTTGCAGCCGCAGATCCTGCCGCACGTGAAAGATCGCCCCCAACTTCAGGAAGGGAAATTGAAATGGTTCTGTAAAATGATGGAGCCACGGCCACCGTGCAAGTTAGAGGCCCCAAACGCTCTGCTCTGCACTTTGCCTGGAATTTGTGACTGGCGTTTCTGCAAACCCTCCACCCTCTTCTGCACCAAAGGGGAGCCCTGCCAGGCACAAGGGAGAACGCGAGGCACGAAGCTCCTGCATCCAGCCACCGAAGGAGGCAAAAGCCCCCGCCAGGTTTCTTGGTCTCAGATGCCCCACGTGTGCAGTGAGGAAATCTGGAGAGGAAGCTGGGTGGGGTCTCTGCACAGGGACCGAGGCCTCCCCAGTCCCTCTGGCTTAAGGACTGGCCACATTCCAGGGATGTGTCTGCTGCAGGACGACGTCACGAGCACTGTGTCAAGGCAGAAATTAACCATCAACGAGGCAAAGACTGAAACGGCCACGGTGCACACTGTATGGACCACTCACACGCCCTCAGCAACCGGGACAGGATCTGCATGCGTGCGGCCTCCTGGGAGGAGCTCAGGGCAGGTGCACACCACACAGCAGAGTCCTGGGGGATGGCCGAAGCAAGGAGATTCAAGCCACTGCCCGCCTCCCTGGGAGAGACGGCCGAGCCCAGTGGGCACGGCCAACCTTTGCAGAAACAACTGCCCGTCTCACAGGTGTTCTCCATGAGCTCCGGCACCTTGTGCTCTGCCTGGGGAGAAAAGCCTCAGACTGACCAGCCCCGGGATCTCTGGGTAAAGTCTGCTTCCACTGTGCAGAGACCATGTTACGACTTAGGTTTACACACTGCCCATTGCCTTGCACTGGGCTCCACTCAGCTGTTTCTTTCGATTGACTAGAAATGAAACACACTGATCTATTCCTTTTAAAAAGGCATATTTTCCAAAGCGACAAGTGGAGCAGATTTTTAACTCTACCCAATTTTATATATTTTGATAAAGGAGAAAAATAATGAATTATCAATTCATCGGCAGGTGGGGTGGGAGATGCATCTAGAAAGAACCATGAAATGTAGATCTAAGATCAATACAGCAGGTGCAAAGGGACCAAGACATATCATAAAACCAGGGGAACAATGGCGTGAGTGACCGCGCTCCCCAAGGCGCTGCTGCTTCTCTCCGATGACGCGCTCAGTGCTCTATCCACTTCCTCCAAAAGCCGCGTTTCCCATTCACCTTCCCGTTTTCCTGACAGCCACGGACTGAGCAACCACACATCAGACACGGAGCTGGGTTCTCACGCAAGGTGCATTTACTTCTGGCAAAGCCCATGCCACGGTACGGCTGTCTGCATTTGAAAACTGCAGCCCAGGCGAGTGCTGGCTTCCCAGGGCCATGTGGGACTGTAGAGCAAGCACAGGATCAGAGCGAGTTTGGCTGGGATGTGCCAATTTGCCATGGTAGCTTTGCTTCCTTACGTGTCGTTCCACGGGAGCACACAAGTGCAGTCCCCTGCCTGGCAAGAGTTCCCGGGGCATCCCCACGTGAGACGCCTGCTCGAGGCAGCGGGCAGCATGGCCCAGGCAGCCGTGTTAGGCGGACGTCTCCCCGCAGCTGGGACTGTTTGTTTTTGTGCAGTCCTTAGACCTTGCCCATCAGTCTTCCGGAGGCTGCGGCTCTACGTTCTGCTTCTCGAATACACACTTTTCTCCCAGAACTGACTATCTAATCCACTTACACCCCATTGACTCCGCACTTCAATCAGTGCAGCATGACTCCTAAGAAATCATTGCTAAGCCATGAAGCTGGTGAGAAAATACATCATTTATAACGGCTGCACTGAAGGAAGCCTGTTTCTCTGGCTTTTACCGCGTCTGGTTTTCCGGCTGACGTAAGCTTGATGCTGATGGTGTCAAGGTCCTGTCGGCTAAGTCTTCATGACTCCTTCTGTGACTGCGGGAACTCGCGGGAGTCGTGGGCCGGCCACGCGTCGCACCGTGGTTCACAGGTGCAGACAGCACCTCCCGGTCCCCTGCACCTCATCGGCTTCCAGCTCAGGATGGCAGGGAAATTACTTAGTCCACTTTTAAGTTAGATTCAGCTGGAAATTCAATCAGTTCTGCCAAGCAGTGTGCAGTGTCTCTTACATAAAATCAGTTTCTTACTTCTGCCCTTCCACATCTCTCCCCAAAGGACGCTCAGTCAGGAGGCTTGGGGAAGGGTCAGTGTCTCCGAATTCAACATGGCCAGGCCCCCTGACCCCTGGGTGGTCATCAGGATCCCCAGTGCCATCTCTACCCCACCCTCAGTGCGCGTAGCTTCGGCAGGGACCCCTCCCCCACAATCCAGAATCCGGTCAGAGCCCAGAATGTGCCCTGGCTGTTTCCACCTCGTGCTGGGCTCAGAGTCCCAGATGTCTGCCCCGGCTGCCAGCCAGCCAGCTCCCAAAGGCCCCTCCCCCAGCCAGGGCCCCATCACTGCAGGCCCTGACTCCTGCCAGTGTGGAAGCCCTGGGACCTGGCAAGTGCACCAACACCAGCCCTCAGCGCCTCCCGGTGCCCTGCGTCCTGCTCAGCCACGAGAACTCCGGCACAGGGGCAGCGAGCAGAGGAGCCACTGCCAACCGCACGGCCACCCTCCTGTGATTGCTGAGCTCAAGTTGACGCCCAGAAAGGAAGAGAACCCCCTGCCACTCGCTCTTGTCTGACTTCCCAGGAGCCCTCGCTCTGTGAGACGGAGAGGGGCAGCGTCGTACCTCCCGCTCCGCAGCCCAGCAGCGGCTGAGGTTGAGCGACCCGAGGACGCACCCTTGCTGCTCCGGGGGAGTGTGAGGTGACCCGAGAGCAGAGGCTGTGAGCTCAGCCCCTCAGTCTTTCTTCTTCTCCATCTCTGAATTCCTACTGGTCCACTCCCAGGGAGGTGGGGGCTTCAGGTCAAGGCAGAAGACGATCTTACACTCAAACACCAGAAGAAAAAAGCAAAACAATTCATGGGATCCTGCATTCCCCCTCACACTGACGCTTCCACACAAGAGGCAGGGGCGTTTCTCTGCAAAATGCTTACAGCAATGCCTCCCAACGCTCAGGGTTGCACTTGGAAATAGCACCTGCCCATCCGGTGCCCTGGGTTGGAAACAAACAGCAGGAGAAGGAGAACCATGAACCCCTAAACCAGCGCCCCCAGCGCCCCTCTTGGCTCCGTGAACGTCTTCTGTCACCAGGAGCCCATCACACGCCCAGCCCTCCACACCTTGGTTTCCCTTCTGGGAAGAGGCAGGCTCAGCCCAAACACCTCTGGGATGTGTCTCCTGAGGGTCGATGCCTCCAGAGTAGAAAGCAACATGTGTGACAGTTCCAACCAAATCACGTATGACGACGCAGCGATAGCGCCACCATGGACGTGCGGTTAAGAGCAAGCAGTTCTGAGCGCGTAGAGCTGTCATCCAGCGCACATCTCCATGAGCTCCCAGGAAAACGGAACTTTTCCACAAACTGGCACAGAAAGACAAATGCTCTTACATACGGAAGCTATGGAGCTGATCTCGTGGGGTTGAGAGCAGTGAATACCGAAGCTGGGGCAGGGCAGGGCAGGGGCTGGGTAACAGGTGCGAGGGTGCAGCTGGAGAGGAGGAACCTCTCGTGTTCCACAGCACGAGAGGTGACCACGGCGGACGGCAACAGCTGAGTACTGCAGAACAGCCAGTCCAGAGGATTTTTAACACTCCCAACACAAAAAACCGGCGTGTGAGGTGATGAATACACACTTACCCTGGCACACGGCTATAGAAATGATACATGTGCCATCCAGGCATGGACAGTTATCTGCCCTTTAAACATAAAACAGCATAGTAAAAATGACTTTTTCTGAAAAGCGCCGTATTCTCATCGGGCTACGGTTGACCCTCCACTCATGACAGCCCCAACCTGCTGGGAAGAGAACGTGGGACGAGGCAGCTCCTACCTTCTCGGTACCTGAGCAGAATGTCCCAGAGGCTGCGGCGGGAGCAGGGGTCCACGCCACTGGTGGGCTCATCCAGGACCACGGTCCGTGATGTGCCCATGAAGGCAATGCCCAGGGACAGCTTCCGCTTGGTGCCTCCAGACAGGGCGCGGGTCGGCTTGTGCTGGTGTGGAGTCAACTCCACATCCTGCAGGGTTCTGAAATAAGAAGACAGCCCTCGTTCTCCTCCTTGAAGATGACAGAGCGTTGCTTTCACTCCGTGAATAATGACTTACGACAGCCAAGATCTTTTTGATTTTATTTTATTTATTTGACAGGCAGAGTTAGACAGTGAGAGAGACAGAAAGAAAGATCTTCCTTTTTCCGTTGGTTCACCCCCCAAGTAGCCACTACGGCTGGCGTGTTGCGGCCGGTGCGCTGCACTGATCCCAAGCCAGGAGCCGGATACTTCTCCTGGTCTCCCATGGGGTGCAGGGCCCAAGCACTTGGGCCGTCCTCCACTGCCCTCCTGGGCCACAGCAGAGAACTGGACTGAAGAGGAGCAACCGGGACAGAATCTGGCACCCCAACCGGGACTAGAACCTGGGGTGCTGGCGCCGCAGGTGGAGGATTAACCTATTGAGCCGTGGTGCTGGCCACAATGGCCAAGATCTTCTAACCCATGGGCCCATCAAGGAGGCCTAGAAGCTATATACACACAACAAAGTAGCTGCGGTGCCTTCATGGAAGTACAAATGGAGCACACCCACGGATGCAGCGTGCTACCGGTCAGCACTGTCCACCATGCATTGTGCTTGGGGCACCCTGGGTTGTTTCCTGCCTGAAGCAGCATTCTCGTCATCTCACTCAAACCTTGTGCCAAGGAGGGGCTGCACCCGCCCCCAGAAGCACAGAATGCAGTGCGATGGCAGGGGCCCAGCTCCGCCTCCGTGGCTCACCAGGAAGTCCTCCGACTGTGGCCCACTGTGCGCTAAGTCTGGATTACCCAGCCTTCTTGAATGAGTCAGTAGGAAGCTCCAGTGAAATACCATGTGACAAGCGTAAGTTACCAGCTACCGTTAAGGAATAGCACGTCTCTTATTCTCTCCCAGAGACCTTTAGCTCCGAGTACTCTGGACTTGAGATACCCAGCACAACGTCATCCCTGGGTGAGGCTGCCATCCTGCTGTAGACCCATTCTCTTCTTCCACTGTCTGCCACTGTCAAGGGCCCCTGTTAACCCCTCATGAACACCTGCCCCACCACACCCGCTCAGACCTCACTGTTAAAGGCTCGGCTGAAACAACACCCTGCTAAAGTCTTCCCCTGACTGCTCAAGCCCATGGTGGATCCCTCCCCCAAGCCACAGGCCTGCCTCCAACAACCTGATGGCCATCCCCCAGTGATGGGGCCATCACACAGTCAGGTGCAGAACTACAAGGCTCCCCGCAGTTGAGCTGCAAGAACAGACAGACCTGGAACATTCTAGAATCCTAAGAACTCAGGACTTGTGTGCCTGATGACTGAGTAAATTCTCATGTTTCTTTTACTATTTATAGGAATATTCCCTACCCAAACTATAGAGCTCAAGCCAGCTTCTCCACATCCAGTTGTCAGTCACAGTGACTCTCCCCTGCCTTGTGGACAGCACCTCCTTGGAGGGAGGAGGATAAATGGCAGCTGATTGCCTTGACCTGTAATCCACCAACATCTTCCACCTGCATGACCCCAACACAGCAGAGAGCTGAGACCCTCCTGACACTCAGTACCTGGAGCCTGGTCAGGAGAGAGAGCAGATGGACAAGAAAGTGGAGCAGCCAGGTGTCAGATGCTATAGTACACACAGGCCCTGCTCACATTTGTAGGGTGAACCCAAACCCGTTCTTTCTTGCTTCCTCCACGGACAACCACTCAGGGTACCCACTGGGTCCTCACTGCATTCCCCACCAGACTGAGAGCCCACTCCTGTCCATATGCCTGGCACATTGAGTCAGGAGTGGTTTGGGTGCAAGCAAAGAACACCATGCTTCTGTAACTGAATCCATGCGAAGAAGCAGGGCTGTGCTCCGGCTGTCCCTTGTGCAGCCAGTTAACATGAAGCTGACCAGTACCCAGTACTTCTGCTGCTGTGCTGGACAGAAGCCTGTTTTTCTATGGCATTTTTAACTTAAACTTACCCTTTTCTTTTGTTCCCAAAACTAAGAGTGTTGGTTAATAATGACAAGGTGGAGGGAATGACAGCAAGTCTAATTCAACTCTGTGTATTTTTGGAATTCCTGCAAGATTGCACAAAGGGGTCTGTAGCCTCATGAGCTGGGCATCCTGTGTGGACCGGGGGGAGGGCAGCAGGGGCAGAACCCAGGTCCTGCTCCAGGAAAGCAGAGGTATGGAGCAGCCTCCTGTGCGCACACCAGCAAGGACACAGGAGACAAATGTTCCGGAAGGAACCAGAGTGCTCGGGAACTCAGAGACTTGTTCCCCGGGAGGAACAACTCAAACATCTTCTGCTACATCACAGTACAGTCAAATCGTATTACAGTCTTGACTAGTGTTCCTGCATGCCTCAAGTGCCTTCCCACAGAGGGAATGCTAGTCAACTCATTTTTAATTTTAGCGCCAAGCCTGGATAATCATAATTAACGTATATTAGCCATATTTTATATCGCAGGCATTAAGTACCTCACGTGTGTAAATTAATACAATGCACACAACCTCCGAGTGAGGCCTTCCTGTTACTAGGCCTCGTGAGATTTGGGACACCCGCCCGGAGACAGTACACATCGCAAGGAGCACCCTAAGCCAGTGGGACACCCGGGCTCAACCACTAGCGGGCTGAACCCAGGTACACCTTTGCCATTGCAACACTCTGGCACCCACAGTCACTGTGGCACCCATGGACACAACTGCTGGTTGTCTCAGTCCCCACACAGACTGGGCTTTCTCAAGGCCACAGCCTTACTGCTTCTCAGACCCAAGTCTGACGAAGGTCACAACTCCAGGCATTGAAATCAACGGATGTGAAGGTCTGCGCGATTGGAACTCGGGGGATGTGGCTTGTTCTCCAGGGCAGGATGCATTCAGAGGGCCGTGTGGCCTTGAGGTGTTGTCTGGGGCCAGGACACAGGGTCTGAGAGCCCCTCTTGGGTCAGGAAGAGGACTGTGTCGCAGACCCCAGCATTTCCTTCTGCTGGTTTCTGAATGTCAGGCAGATGTGTGGCTGGAACTTAAAGATCAAAGAAAGCCATCTGAGCCAGCTGTTCCTACCTGTTGAATTTTTATTTAAAATCAAGATTACCTAATGTTAATTATTAATTTTTAACATGCTAAAAGGAAGCAAATCATTTCTGCAAAGTTAAACTTCCAGATTCCTTCTGAATAGGTCAGGAAAACTCTAATTGGGAACACTTGCAGGCAGCAGGAGAGATCTTCCCTCCAGTTAATTCGCAGGTCTGTGCCCGAGAACGTATTTTAGAAGCTGCTCGTCAATCATCCACCCACTTATTGAACCCTCACAGTGCATGGCACCTGCCTCCTGCTACGGCGAGAGAAATAAATCGAATCTTGTCTTTGATTCAAGGGACTCAGTCTGGTGGAAAGACAGGCCAGAAATTATAATAAAATATGAGGGAGGTGGTGACAAGGTCCCAGGTGCTGTGGGAATTCCCTGACTCCACGGAAGGTAATACAAGAAGTCAGCCAGACAGATGGTAAGTGTCAGTGAGGTGGGGACATTTGGCCAACGTGTTCCAGAAAAGGCAGTGGCGCATTTGCCAGGACCTGGGGGACAAACCTGGCCAGGAATGAAAACAACCTCTTTTGAAGGAGAGAAAAGCACATGGTGGCCGTGGACAAGACAGGAGAGGGGCGCGAGCCAGAACACGCGCCCAGCATGAACCCTCTCACCTGACCCACGGGCGGCTCTTCCTCCCACTGGATATAGCTGTGGGTGGGTGGCTCCTCGCACCCACTACGACCTCACTCCTTTTCCCACCACCTCCAGAACCCCAGCCTTGAGTCTCAGGCCATCAGAGCTATCTCCCACTAGCCTCCGAGTTCCTGTCACGCCCAGCCCTCAGTGCTCCCTGGTGCGCTGCCCCTTTCTCCACCACTACTCCTTTCTTTACGTTTGAGGTAGTAAATCCTCCTCTCGCCTGCGCCAGTCCCAATCAATCCCCGGACCTCGTCATGTCCAACAGCCGCTGCTCCTCCACAGTCCCCCAACCCCAACATCCTCCTCAGACTACATCTGCTTTCCTAGCTAAGTCCTGTCCCAGCAGTCACTTGACTGTCCCTGCCTCCCTCAGGTCCTTCCTCCTTATTCTCAGTTTAAAGCCCCGGTCATCATCCTGATGCCCACTTTGCACGCACTCTTCACTGAGTAGAGTTAATGCACGTCCTGGCCTCCTGCTACATTACGGGGCTGGCTGGGTCTCACGAGAGCTGGACCTCACCTCCTGTGTAGGTCTCTGCCCCTCCCCAGCCTCTCCCCTCCCAGCTCACCCCAGTGACCCATCATCCCCTCCTGGCCCGCTCCCAGCAGCAGGCAGAGCTGCTGTTACGGTTCCTGTCTCTGCAGTCCTCTGCTCTTAGTCTCAGCCCCCCATCTGGACACCACCCCTCCACTGCTTCCCTTTCAGGGAAACCCCTCAGAAGACGTGCTGCCCCCAATCCCTCTCCTTCCTTACCTCCTGTAGGGAGTCCAGCAAGGCCCTACGATACCCAAGCCCCTCTTCTGATACTCACCAGTGACCCTGCAGCCAAATCCAAAGGCCATTTCTCAGCCAATCTCAACAGCGTTCGAGGCAGTGAGCCCTCCCTGCCTTGCGTGGACTTGGTCCACACCTTGTCTTTCTCTTTCTTGCCTCCTTGGCTGGCTCCTCCTCTTAGCTCCATAATCTTCCTGTTGGAATATCCAGGGCTCAATTCTGTCCCCTCCTCTCCTTTACCTGAACTGATGCTCTCAACTAATCAATACCCCTCTAACTATCAAAAACATCTACCTCCACCCTAACCTGGGTTTCCTGGTGTATGCCAGAATCCTAAGTGGTAACATTAACTACGTAGTAATATTTCAATGGCTTAAAGGCCTGACAACTACTGTTATCTCCTCTCAGCCAAATTAAGGGCCAAACCATAATGACCTGACTGTTGACAAACGTTCCCACTGAAGATCTGCTGGAGATGCTACACGTCCTTGAGCTCACACTTTAATGAAGCCACACATTAGGGAAAACACGTGGAGCCACAGGACTCCGAGAAGGAGCCTGTCGGTGCTATTCCTCCCCTGCTAGCGCGAACTGCCGTCCGAACACTTCTCACTCTGATTGCTTTTGTGCAAATGGGCTTTGTTGCTAAGTAACACACCATGAACTGATAACCACTCATGTTGCCTGGCACCCAAATAAGATGAAGCCTGTGCAGCACTGCTGTGTAGCACAGCACAGTTCACGGTGGCACAGGGTAGCCTTTTTTTAATTAAAATAGGTGATCTATGATTTTTTAGGAGAAATTGGGTTGCACATAGCAATCTGCTGTCTAATAATGTCATGCATAGAATGCCTAGCCAATTCTCATCAGACTCAAGCTGGAGATGGGCGTAAACATTCTCCCTCGACACCCAAGCATCCACTGTCATTAACGCTATCACCATCACCAGTCACTTGCTGGAAGCATCATGATGCATGGCCCAGCTCGCCTTGCGGCAGGTAGTACCCTCGTCCATGCCGACCAGGTGAGCTTTGAGAGAGGATGCGACACTGTCTATATCACACGATGGACTCCTGTCCCTTGGGATTTTTTCCATCAGTCCACTTGGCCCTGATATGTGAGCATCTGTCCATGAAGAGAATTCATTTGCACTGTACTTGTCATGGAGCTGGTCTCTGCACACAGCCACCTCTTTCAAGTTCGATCATCCAAACAAGTGCAGCTGCCTTCCAAGTGGGGAAGTGGGCGAGTGGTCTGGCGGTGCGTTCCAGGAGCCAGGGCACCGTGTCCGGTCCGCTCTCCACCAAGAGTTGGTCAGGGAGGGCTGCGCGTCACTTCTGCCCAACGCTCCGCTTTCAGACCCTGGCCTCTGAGGAACCCGTGCCTCCAGCATGTTCTGAGCTCGTGGCCTCCTCTTGCTTTCTTATCTCTGACCACAGAATGCCCACCATACCATCTAACTCCGCCCCTCTAGGATCCCATGTGCCACCCCACCCCGTGATGATCTCATCCACGTGAGCCCCATCAGACGCTGACACTCTGGAGGCAGCTTCCAGAATTATCCGGGCCCCTTCACCTACACCCCCCGAGTAGGGTGCAGGTGCCCCACCTGCCCTGCCTCCATGACTCTGAGTGTGTTTTCAAGCCACAGTCCCCTGCACTCCCTGGACTCAGGGGCAGCAACTGTCAACAAACTGCCTTCACTGCTCATACCCTTGAGACCTCCTGATGGACAGCCACACCACACACAGGCCGAGGCCTGGAAATGGGGGACAGCCCTCCTGATGGACAGCCACACCACACACAGGCCGAGGTCTGGAAATGGGGGACAGCCCTCCTGATGGACAGCCACACCACACACAGGCTTCGGCCTGGAAATGGGGGACAGCCCTCCTGATGGACAGCCACACCACACACAGGCCGAGGCCTGGAAATGGGGGACAGCCCTCCTGATGGACAGCCACAGCACACACAGGCCGAGGCCTGGAAATGGGGGACAGCCCTCCTGATGGACATGCACACCACACACAGGCCGAGGTCTGGAAATGGGGGACAGCCCTCCTGATGGACATGCACACCACACACAGGCCGAGGCCTGGAAATGGGGGACAGCCCTCCTGATGGACAGCCACACCACACACAGGCCGAGGCCTGGAAATGGGCCGGACAGCCCTCCTCCAGCAAGTCACCTGCCCGCAGGCTCTAACTCACGTGCTGCAGGAGTGATCAGCCCAGAGGAACGGCCACTGCTATGGGTCAGATACGATTTGGCTCCCAAACACGTGTGAACTGTAAGTCCTGAAGTCACACGCTCACGTACCAAGAGGGTAGAAGCTCAATTCAATCATGCTGTCCAGGAGACGGACCTCGTGGGAAGTCCAGAAGCCACCGGGGGCCTGCCCTTGGAAAGTAGTTCTTGTGAGCATGTTGCTATGAAAGCCTGAGCTTGGGCCCAGCCTCTTTCTCTCCCTGGCTCACCCTGGGATCTGTCCACTGCACATAGCCCCCTGTTGTCATCACTGTCCTCACCCAACCAAAGGGGCCACCAAAACTGTGGGCTCAACAAACTTCTTCTCTTTGTACAGGTGGTTGTCTCTGGGATTTTGTGATAACAGTGAAAAACTGCTACAGTAATAGAGGACACGTTGCATCCAAGGCTCCTAGGTCAGGTCCAGGCTTCCCTGTAGGGGCTGCATGGCCCCCTCTCCCTGAACCTCAGCTGCACATGGAAGCAGCCCTGCCTGTCTCTCAGAGGAGAGTCACTTGAATGAGACCACACGTGGGAGGTTCGTGGTACATGACCTCAGCTGTTCCCAGCACACAAAGGTGTTAAACACAAGTCCTCGATGAACAGCATGGGCACCAGTCGCAGGTGTGAGCGCAGGGGCAGAAGACCCCTTGGAATGCCGGAGATAGACCCAGGGTGTTCTTCCCCTGCCCCAGCCCATATGAGCTGCACAGCACCCCAGGCCACGGCAGGAGGGGATGTGGTCTTACCACAAAAGCAACGGCAGCAGTGAAGGGGAGCATGGGCGGGAGAGCAGATGCCCGACTGGGACTTGGCCTCAGACGCTTCCAGGCCCCTCGAACTCGTCTCTACCGTGAGCTCCGCCACTGCCTCTCCCCAGCCTCTGACTGGCTCCCTTTCTGTGTATTTTCAGTACAGGGCTACGTTCTTTCTCTCTGTATATTTTCAGTACAGGGCTACATTCTTCCTGCCTGAGCCAGAGATCTGAGCATTACCATGGCCCCTCCTTCTCTCTTACTCCCCACAGGGGTCAGCATTTCTCCTTCCATCTCCCTATCCATGCACCTCTTGCAACCGCCTCTGTTCTACCCTCACACTTGGTTCCCACCTGGACCAGGAAGCATGTCTGACCAGCTCACCGTGTGCCCATTTTACTGGGCCCCTCCCCACCTTAGCCCACCCCCCTCCCCTGCACACTGACTGCCTAGTGGACAGACCTGACTCTTGTGAGGCTCCCAAACCTGCCTGATGTGGCCCAGCCTCCTCTGCAGAAGGAAGGGTACGGTGTTGCATCATCATCCCAAATGCTCAACTTGGATTCCAGAAACACCCCACGAGACACATAGTGTGTATAGCAACTTCAGGACTCGCCTCTTGCCCTCTGTGTTACAGGGCGATGAACATCAAGGTGGAACCCTGCCACACTGACATGGGTCCTGCAGGAAGTGGTAGCGAAGTGAGCTCCTACAAAACAAATGGCACCGAACACCTGCCTGTCTTCACCCTCAGGAAATACAGAATGTAAATGCCAATTTTCACAAATAAAACTTGAAACGATGTGCAAGAGTTTGTGGAATTCACATTTCTTTAGTTATGTGCAGTCACCATTTATAGACAGACACTTGCCTGCAGCCCGCACCCCCCCACCCCCCCATGCTCCTGCCCTGGCTGATGCTTTGCTGTGCAAAGTCCATCAGGTTCACCAAGGATCCCGCACAGGGCCTGGGCCATGCCTTCCCTGCCACTGTTCTGAATCGAGGGCCCACAGTGGCTGATGCCTCCACCCCGGTCACTGCCCTGGACTTTCACGGCTCCACTTCCCCTCCAAGCCATCCTTGCAAGCTCGCCACCTGCAAACACCACTTTGTTCTCTAACCAGGAACCGATGGCCTCTGCTTCTCTCTCTGCTTTAAGCTTCTACCAGTCTCCAGTGACGGGAGAATCTTCTGTAGGCCTTGCTGGCCATCCTGGACACCTCACTCCCTGTCCACCTCTCCTGGTGCCTGTGTTATGCTAACTCTAACCCTAGCCCTACCCCCGAGGACCAGCCTTCTCTGGGGACTGACCAGATTCCCTCCCATTCCCCAAGGCCTCACTGGAGTCTTCCCCTCCCTCCCTTGCACCCCTCACTGGTCAGCACGATGTGTTTCTTCCAGCTTTGAATAGTCTTCAGATGTGGACTTCCCACTCCACCCCTGTGGCACGACCACAGATCAGGCTGCTCACTCCTGTGTACAGCGACAGCCCCATATCAGGTCCCTTCCCATGGCTGCGGCATCTGCTCTGCTGTAGCAAGATCCACCTCCCAGATCTCAGGCCAATCACAACCCCAACCTGCACCTCAAAGGTAAAACCCCTTAGCACGACCAATCCACTCTCACATCCAGATGTCCTGCAGGAGCCCCGTGCTCCAGGCACCCACGGACAGCCCTTGCCCCACTTTCCCATGTTGGCTCAGCTCTTCCCTGCTTCAAAGCCAAACCAAATGAATTCACTGTCTCCTCTTATAAGCCTCCCTGGCTCACCCAGAGATGGTGCCTATGTCATCCTGTTGTGGTTAACAGTCACTTGCTCTTCTCCTTCCCGTAAGTACAGCCATAGACGGCTCTTAGATGTCTCTTCTGTAATCTCCATCTCCATCAGGCAGAGGCAGGGAGCAGGGAGAGCAGGGTCACTCACTTGGCCACCTGCTGCCGCAGCTCCTCCTGGGTCCACCACGGCGCCTTGATGGAGCCAAACAGTAGCAGGTGCTCCTGGACAGTGAGGCTGTCGAAGAGGACGTCATGCTGCAGACACACCCCCAGCTCCCTTCTGACCCTGGACAGGTCTGTCTGCAGGTTCTTGCCATCGACGATGATGGTTCCAGAAGTGGGAGGGTGGAGCCCCGTCAACAGGGATCTGCCAGAGAAAAGGAGTCAGTGCGGAACACACGCTGCTCACCCAGCATCTGCAGAGCTGGTTAAATATGCAGATCACCAGGGAAGGGGCGGGGCTTGACCATGGTGAGGGCAAGCCTAGGTCCCTGCAGTGTGGGGGCTTTGGGGTGACAAAGTCCTACTTTGCTTTTACAGATGCGTGTGATTTTAGCTTTTTTTTTTTGCACCAAAATAAACTCATCTTTCAGCTCTGCTTTTCCAAAAACTTTTTGAAGTCCTCTAGTATTTACCCAAGTCCTCATAATTAGAGTAAAACAGAAACGCACACCTAGAGCCCCCAACCTGTGGCCAGTCTTCCTCAGCTCTGCCTGGGCCACCTGTCCACGTCAAAGTCCAACAACTCCGGCAGCACCAGAAACTCACTCATCCTCCAAGGACGCCTGGAGACTGCCTGTCTCGCTCCACTTACTTTCTCAGGATGTGCAATACTTGGGCTCGAAATTGCTTTCTCGTTTTTAAAAAGTTAACCAGCCCCTCCCCCGAGAGCTAGCCAGTCCTCTCCTAGGCATTTATGCAAGAGAAATGACAGTGTGAGCCTACCCAGATATGTACACAGCCTCGTTCAGGACCACTGAAAACCAGCTGCCACCAACAGGCAACGACACGTACAGACCACGGATCCTCAACAGAGCCGATGGCCCTCAGCCACCCTCCGGACCAGGCGGCCGCGGTCACCGCTGTGGGAGAACCTGCTGCGTGAGAGGAGCGCACACAGCTCCATGTTTACAAAATCCTGGGAAATTCAAACGGATTCACAGGGACGCATGGCAGAGCAGCAGTCACTGGGGGCCAGGACAAGGAGGACGAGGAAGGAATCACCCTCCTCTTCACTGTGCTGCCTGCTCCAGCATTAACCACACCCACACCGAAACGCACCACACCCGCACCGAAACGCACCACACCGCACAGGGACTGCTCACCGCACAGCAGCTGCACCTCAATAAACTCCACTAGCAACTCTTTGCTATGTTATGTTCAAACCAATGTGGGGGACACTATAGGACCCCTCATTATCTGTGTGGGATTGGCCCCAGGACCCCCACAGATGACACAGTCTGCAAATGCTCAAGTCCTTTACAGAAAACAGCACCTGCACAGTAACCCATGCAATCCTACAATATACTTTATTTTTTTTAAGATTTTATTTATTTGAAAGAGAGAGGTAGAGACAAAGAGAGAGGTCTTCCATCTACTGGTTCACTCTCCAAGTGGCTGCAGCAGTCGAAGCTGAGCCTATCTAAAGCCAGGAGTTTCTTCCAGGTCTCCCACATGGGCGCAGGAGCCCAAGGCCCTGGCCATCCTCTGTAGCTCTCCCAGGTGCATTAGCAGGGAGCTGGATTGGAAGTGGAGCAGCCGGGACTTGAACTAGCACCTAAAAGGGATACCAGCACTGCAGGCTGGGACCTTAACCCACTGCACTACAGCGTCAGCCCCTCTGTATACCTTACATCACCTCTAGACCACTCTGTACAAGTCTCCAAGCTGTTCGTTTTAGCACTGAAGACCTCACTGTTAATCAGCCTGTCAGCTAACACCTGCGGGAGCCAAGCACTTAGGACTCAAAGCGCTCTTCAAACAATCACTAAAAACGTGGCCGGTGAGCGCAGAAACTTCGGGAAAGCCCAAGTGCGACGCTCATCGCCCACTAAACAAGTGCTGCAGTGAAAGACCCAGGCAGGGCTCCGAGGGGCACACGGCCGCTGGCCTCCCCATCTCCACGTGTGCAACTCGTCCTTCCCACACCACGGACAGCCAGCGAACCTCCAGTTCTCACTGCACCACAAAGAAAACCATCCACATCTCTGTTTTCAACAGGAAATGCTTTAAATTCTGTGTCTCATTTTTCTACTTTCCTTAATTCTGAGGCAAAGTTCTTTCCATTGCTGTAACTAACGTATCCCTATAAATTTAATAAGAACAAAAAGTAATTTTTCAAGAGCAACGTTCGGCAATTTTGGTGGCTCACCCATAAGCAAACTACCGGTTCCACACCTGGCTCCAGGCCACGGGTGACCTCCCGTCCTGCTTCTCCGGGCATGGCTCTATCTCATCAACACAAAAATCAAATCTTAACAAGAAAACGAGGGAAGCTCCAAACACAAAGCAGAACGTAAGGAAGAGTCCACAGTTAAACACGCTAATACCCTGACAGTCCACTTCCTGGAGACACAAGCAAGGGCACACACAGGACAAACACGTCCCGGGTGGGGCAGGCATCTGGCACAGCAGAGTGAGGCCCTGAACCCCGGATGGGAGTGCCTGGTTCAAGTCCCAGCTCCTCCGCTCCCAGCCCAGCCTCCTGATAACGCACCCCCCGGAGACGGCAGATGACAGCTCAGGTTCCCGGGCCCTGCCACCCACACGGGAGGCCTGCGCTGAGCTCCAGACTCCTGGTTCTGCTCTGACTGCTGCAGGCATTTGGAGAGTGACCCTGTGGATGGGAAACCCTTGGTATGTGTTACTTTCTGTCAAGGTAAAAATACATAATTTTCAATAAAAATGACTAAAAGGCTAAAGCAAAAACATGGTGAATGTACTATAGAAAAAAAAAAAAGGACTAAAGATTTTAAAAACTCCATCCCTGGCTGGCGCCGCGGCTCACTAGGCTAATCCTCCACCTTGCAGTGCCGGCACACCGGGTTCTAGTCCCGGTCGGGGCGCCAGATTCTGTCCCGGTTGCCCCTCTTCCAGGCCAGCTCTCTGCTGTGGCCAGGGAGTGCAGTGGAGGATGGCCCAAGTACTTGGGCCCTGCACCCCATGGGAGACCAGGAGAAGCACCTGGCTCCTGCCATCAGATCAGCGTGGTGCGCCAGCCGCGGCGGCCATTGGAGGGTGAACCAACGGCAAAGGAAGACCTTTCTCTGTCTCTCTCTCTCTCTCTCTCACTGTCCACTCTGCATGAAAAAAAAAAAAAAAACTCCATCCCTACCACTCTCCGACTACCTCGCGTGCGGCAGAGGTTTGAGGCATCGGTGCCTCTTCCTGTCTCTAAAATCTCACGGAGACTCAAAGCAGAAGGAACAGCAAAAGGAGGGCAAACCTCTGTGTCACCGGCAATCTGGTATCTGTAAGAATCAAATGCCCTGAGCCCTGGGCAGGGGACCAGGGACGCACATGATGGTGGTCTTCCCAGCACCGTTGGTCCCCAGCAGGGCGGCGATCTGGCCCCTGTGGAAGGTGAGGCTGAGGTCCTGGATGGCGGCCTTGTGGCCTTCGTAGTCCTTGGTCACAGACACCAGGGCGACTCCCAGATGGCCCCCTCTCAGCTCCCCTTCCCCATTTTGGGGCGGTGACCCTGTGAAGAAGATGACAACCAAGTTCATCATGAGATGGGCTGCACCCACACTTCAGGGCTCCCTCCAGAGCCGCGTTCCAGCTCCGGGAACAGGCAAAACCATTCAAGGCTCCCCACTTGCAAAAGCGAGAAGTTACAGAATGGCAAAAAGGACGCGCAGCCATGAATTTTAGGGCTTTGAGTTCCTGGAATAATCGTTCTGTTAAAAAAAAAAAAAAGACATATATGTGTACGGGGACAGGGACAGAAAAAACACAAAAATATTCACATATTTCCTACAGAGCTGAGAGAGGTTCCAAACTTGCTAGGGATCCATATTTACACTTGTTGAATCAGAAAAAACAGAAAATCATTTCCAGTGTTGACTCAGACGAAAACCACTCTGAGAGGAGCCTGCTGGTCTGTGCTGATGCGGCCACCATTACGGTTTCCCTCTTGAGTGCCCACAGGGGCAGGCGAGGACTGCAGGACGGGAGGACGGGGGGCCGGGGACAGTCCTGCGCTGTCCATCATGAGATACCCTCCCCCTCCCTGCTCCCTCCCCTACCCCCCTGCTCTCCCCATCCTGAGAGGCAGTGATACCCCCCTCCCCCCTTCCCTCCCCCCTCATCCCACCCCTCCCCCCGCCCCCACCACTGAATCCGCTGGCACCGTGCAGACGTCCACACACTTGCAAAGGGCATCCACCCCCAGCAGCTGCCCCCTTTGCTTCTGTTTTTTTTTTTTTTTGTGACAGGCAGAGTGGACAGTGAGAGAGAGACAGAGAAAAAGGTCTTCCTTTGCCGTTGGTTCACCCTCCAATGGCAGCCACAGCCGGCGCACCGCACTGATCCGAAGCCAGGAGCCAGGTGCTTCTCCCGGTCTCCCATGGGGTGCAGGGCCCAAGCACTTGGGCCATCCTCCACTGCACTCCCTGGCCACAGCAGAGAGCTGGCCTGGAAGAGGGGCAACCGGGACAGAATCCGGCACCCCGACCAGAACCCAGTGTGCCAGCACCGCAAGGCAGAGGATTAGCCTAGTGAACCACGGCACCGGCCCTTGTTCTCATTCTTACACACTCACTTTTGGACTGAGGTCCAGCCTCGCTGAAGCACAACACGTGCCCAAGTGCACCTGACGCCTAGAACCGACGACTGCAGCGAGAGGTGAGGAGGTACTGGGGACCCCACAGCCCATGCACGGGCCGGGCGCGGCCTGCAGGCGACTCTGGAGCTGCTTCCAAGCCCAGGGCAGCCTGCAGGCGCGTGTCTGGGAACCCGCCCAGCTAGTGAGGCTCAGCCCGAAGCGGAAAGCCACCACGTGTCCAGGCGGCCACTGCCACGCACCTGTGTGGCCGCGGTTCTCACCGCCGAAGGGGCCAGAGCAGGGAGAGCTCGGCTGCTTCTCCAGGAAGCCACACAGGCTCCTCCAGTACGAGACGGTGACGGGAAAATACCAGGGTCTCCTCACTCCGAAGCTTCCTGAAGAAAGAAGATGCCGTGACAAACCCGCCAGATGCTTCTGTCTGATGAAGAGTCTGTTGTAAAATACCGTGACTCTGCAGCCGGAGTCGTGGCACAGTGGGTTAAGCCACCACCTGCCCACTGGCATCCCACACTGTCCCAGCTGCTGTGTCCAACCCAGCTCCCTGCTAATGCACCTGGGAAAGCAGCAGAAGACAGCCTAGTGCTGTGTCCCTGCCACCCAGGTGGGGGACCCTGAGTGCACTCCTGGCCCCCGAATTCAGCCTGGCTCAGCTCCAGACTTTGCAGCCATCTGGGGAGTAGAGCAGCAGATGGAAGAACTCACTCTGTCAATCTGCCTTTCAGACAAATAAATCTTTAAAAATAAAAATAAGATGCCTTAATAATAGCGTCTTCACGGGACTGTTTCTATTTGCAGTCTGGGAGAGAGACCTGGATGCTCCTGCCTGTCCCGAGCCACGCCCCCGGGCGGCGCTTGGAGCGGCTGAGCACTCCATGAGCCCTCTCCAGGCAACCGTCCTGCCCACCCCACACTGCCCTCTTTTTGCCACTGCTCTTCCTCTGCCTGGCTCTGCTGTCTGTGCAGGTTCCTGGCCAAGGGGAACAGCATGACGTACGTGTGTGAAGGAACAAATCAACCCAAAGCCCCACAAAGAACCCGCAATGCTAACATTTCCAGAGGAAACCACATCGACCTTCTTCAAACGTGTTCTCCAAATGCACTTCCCTGTCTCCCAGCCACTTTGCCATCCTTGTACGTCAAAATGAAAGGGGATTTAATTATTAACATGTCCCGATTTTGTTTAACTATCTACCCTAGATTTCGGCTGAGGAGTGCGTGAACATAAAGTCCTGAACTGCAAGTGAGTGAAATAAGAAGGCCTCCTTGCAGACCAGGACTACACTCGGCACGTCACGTAAGAGTGAAGGCTGTAAGAGCTCCCACACTGACTGCAGTCTCGAGACTCGGGGAGGACCGCGTGCTCAGAGGGAAGTGGGGTGCACAACTGCTGCCAGCACCAGGCCGACCTGCTCCCCTAAAAACCCACCTGCTGATGTCCTGATCCCAGTACGCACAATGTGGCCTTAAGAAGCCATTAAGGCAAATGGGGTCCCAAGGGCAAGTCCCAGCCCAGCGTGACTGCTGTCCCCGTAAGAGGACGAGATCAGGACACAGAGGGAGGACCACGTGAGGACACCAGGGAAGATGCCGTCTGCAATCCAAGCTGAGCCCACAGAGGTGACGACCTGCTGACACCCTGGTCTGGACTTCTGCCTCCCAGGCTGAGACGCAGCATAGTTCTGTTGTGTAAGCCATGCACGCTGTGGTATTGTGCCATAGCCATTGCAGCAAACTAATGCAGGCTGGGGTCCTCCAAGACCCCAGCAAAGTAACAGCCCCTGCTTCGGAGGAAGGGGTGAGTAGCACGGGAATGGTTGGTCCCCTCTGAGGCCAGCCTTGCACAGGCTCCTGGTTCCAGGCACTGCCTCAGGTCTTTGTGTTCACGCACATAGTCTTGAGCCCACCCGTGTGCCACAGACCATTAGCACCTCGATGATGAAGAGGGAGGGGAACAAGACCTGTCCATTGACCCCTGCCACGGCCCCAGCCTCCCCTCTCACCACACCTGCCTATCTGAACACACACACCAGTGAGGAGACTCTGGGGTACCCTTCCCCCGACAAGCACAAAGACTTGCCCTAACACCAGCCCCCTGGTTCTTACAGAACAGGCCCTCGTTCGTGCACACGAGAACAAGGAGTGTGTGGGAATACAAGGAGATAGATAATAAGCAAACAAAGGTGTCAGGAAAATTCCTCTGCAGGCACTGCCTTTGCTGTCCCACCCACTCCTGACAGAGCAGGTGTCCAGCCAAGCGGCCTCCCAAGCGACGGATGGTGCGATGGTACCGCCCTCTGTGAGGGAGCCAGTCGGCAGTGGGACTCAGAAGCCTTAGAACATGTGTAGATTTTGAATGAGTGACTGCAGCTCTGGGAATCTGATGACAAGGTGGGAACAGAGATCTGACACGGACACCTTCTCTGGGCACTATTTAGAAGGGGAAAAGGCAGAAATCACTTAACCCTGCACAGAAGGAGGAAGGCACAGGAAATCGCTACTTTCATTTAATGCAACACTGAGCAGCCACTAATTCAGAGCTATGAATCAGTGCTTTGATCAAGTATTGCGAAGGCACAGAGGAAACTACAGATAGAGTACAATCCTAACTGTACACAGGAAAGCACTTGGAAATAGGCTTGGAAGGACAGACAGGTCTCATCAGGGAGACGGGAAAACTGAGCGTGTGCCCGGCTTGCTCATAAATGAAAGGACCTTGCAACTCTTCTGTGAGGAGATCTGTCCGATGCACCAGAGCCCACCTTTCTGGGCCACTTGGAGCAAAGAGTGGTGCCCGCGTGCAGAACAGAGGGGAGAGGGCTGACCAGGTAGCCCACAAGGAAGCCCTGAAACAAAACCTCACTCTTCTCCAAAGGGAAACACAGTTTCACAAAATGACTTTCAAATGTAGACCATGACCCAAAGTGATGACTACCATGCCTATGTGCACACGTGTAAATATACGCACATATACACACACGCATGTGTGCACACAGCTAAAACAGTATCAGGGTTACCAGTCTCCTGGACTGGTGGAGACCCCAAAGACAGCAAGAGGGAAGAAAACTGAACCCCCAGGGCATGCACTGACATGGAACACAGGTAGGACTCCCCACAGAGGGAAAGTGCAAGAAAGAAAAAGTAGAGGGGGCGGACTTTCTACATTTAGCAAATTCAAATACAGGACATCTAATTACATTTAAACTTCAGACACACCAAGAATAATACTTTAATCTGTGATGCCTTGTATTTCACTGGGTGTACCGGGCACATGGGAACCACCCCTCAGCAGCACGCGGCTGGGGCAGAGTGAGCAGCAGGGCAGGCGAGGGCAGCCCGGGAGCGGCTGCGGACGCCAGCCTCAACGCAGGCACTCTGGAGCGGGATGCCCGCCCCGTGGGGAAGAGCAGGGTCTTCCGGCTTCTTTTTAGGAAGCGTGATCCTGTGTTAACGAAGGGGAGCAGAGCGCAGGGGTGTGGGCAGGTGGGGCCTGGAGTTGCGGCAGCACTGAATGGTCCAATCCAGGTACTCAGAGACTGGAGCGGGGCAAGAGCCTCAGGGACAAACAGGAGAGACACAGGAGGGACGACCAAGGAATCAGGGCTAAACCGAAGAGTCAGGGTTGATTTGCTGAGCAAACCACCTCGGTCCTAGTCTGCCTGCTCTCTAAAACCCTCTTAGTCAGCTGAATAATCCAGGTGAAGCAGCAGGGGTCAGCTCCGGGTGGGCTCGCCGGGCTCTCGCCCCCGGCAGCCCTGTAGGCCACTGCTGCCTGAAGTCTGAACTTGGTGCTGTGAGCTCTGCAGGCACAGTTGCCCGCTCACATCACCATGACCCTCAAGGGGAGGATCATTAGCACTGCCCACCCCCAGGGCTGTCAGTAACGAAAAAGTCACTGAAATTAGACAGAATAAGCGGAATCCAGTGTAACTGGAAGCTCATAAAGAGAGTTTATGACACAAAAACTCTCTGAAGGACCAGACGCTTGCCTGTGAGCTGTGGAGTGGAGCAGGAGGCTGCTGATGCCAGGGAGGCCTGCAGGCCGGAACAACCCAGGGTGGGACCTGTGACCTGCACAGGGAAGCAGGCCGGAAAAACCCAGGGTCAGACCCGCCCAGAGAAGCAGACCAGAACAACCCAGGACTGGACCTGCACAGGGAAGCAGGCCGGAACAACCCAGGACTGGACCTGCACAGGGAAACAGCTGGAACAACCCAGGACTGGACCTGCACAGGGAAACAGCTGGAACAATCCAGGGCAGGACCTGCACAGGGAAGCAGCTGGAACAACCCAGGGTGGGACCTGTGGACCTGCACAGGGAAGCAGGCCAGAAAAACCCAGGACTGGACCTGCACAGGGAAGCAGCTGGAACAACCCAGGACTGGACCTGCACAGGGAAACTTTGGGGTCAAGCCTGCACAATCACATTGTGCACGCATTGTTTTGGTCATTTCTTTAAATGTTTTAGATAAAGAGTAAACATTTAAAGGATTTTTAAATATGCATTACAAATTCTACACTATTTGGTAGTTGCCACTTAACATTATGACTTGGTTTTTCCTTTTTCTCCACATCTCCCTACCCTAATTATCATCTTCATATTTGCGGGCCAATAAGAACGTCGTCTTCTACGCATTTTCAATTCTATGCTCTTGTGTGACTTAAACCTTTCACATGCTTATGAAGTATAAGCTTTTCTTTTCACTGAAAGGTTTGTTCAGGTCATTTGCCGGTATGTCTATTCAGTTATGCTTCATAAATTTGAGAATTTTAACTTTTTCTTTAATGTCAAACAGATGTGATAAGCATCTAATCTTCCATAATTCTATTTGGATATTTTGAAATATTGATTAAATTCCTATAAAGGCAAGTTATAAATTTTTATTATTTATGTCTTTAGCATTCTGTTTAGGAAAGCCTTCCCCCTATTTCTAAAATGCATTTCATTTTTAATATTTTTAAGAATTTTATTGTAGATTTATGAATGAGAGTTCATTTTAATAGACTAAAGAATAACGTATCCCTTGCTGGTGATTAAAATTTATATCTTCACATGGCACAAGTTATTGCACACCCTGGGTCGTCCAAACATTCTGTTCCCCCGCTCCCCTACCAGACAAGCACCCCCAGTGTTTTAAACCTTGGTGATTTATGGTGAGGTTTTACCTAAGCAACAGTCACCAGTCCTCCTCATGATTTTTAATAACTTTGGTCACTACCTCTCATTCACATTTCTAACTATGCATTTTTGGCATTTTTCATGTAAATGATTTGCATAAGTTCCATTACATTACACTGACATAATGTCCCATATTAAGTGTTACATCACTTAATGTTACCGAAATTCATCATGAACTTGGAGAAAATCAACAGACTTCATTAATACCCCACTCAGTAACAGCGTCTGTTTCCATTTACTCAGAGCCGTGTTGTGCTAAGTGACACTTGTTGTACCAGCAGCACAGGCTCTCTGACCACAGAACCGGCTGAGACCTGCACGGTGCGGCCGCTCTCTGCTGCTGCCACACAGCAGCGCTGCCGGCCGGCGTGTGTCTGTGCTCCGTCATCCGATTGGCTGTCCCGGTTTTCAGTCGCTTTTCTCATAAACTGGACGTAACGATGGTGTTGCCTCCTTTTTGATATCTCTATGAAGGGTCTTCAAAAAGCTCATGGAAAACCCATAGGATGAAAAACACTACACATGGATTTCTACTTTTTTTGCACCAAAATAAATTTGTGTTTACTCCATTTTTTCATAAGGTCTTTAAAGCCTCGTTGTATTTAATGTCTTTTTTTTTTTTTTTTGGCCATTCTCTATTTTCAGAGCTTTCATCTCCACATGTAAGTTCACACCCACACAAGCTCACGGTACCAGAGGAAAACAGCACAGGCCTCAGCCTGCCTGCAGCACTGGACGAGGGAGAGCTGTCCAGGGTGCTGACAAGTGTCTCTCCCCGGAAGCGGCCCTTCCCTCTCCTCAGCTCCTGCCTCCTGTCACCAGCACACATGTGTGCTGCTCACACCTTAGTACTGATCCCCATGATGACAACACGCATGCAGGTCATGGCTATATCTCCTTTCTTCCAAATTTCATTCCCTTAGGCCGCTCTGGGCTGAGGAGCTGGCACAGATCCAGGAAGCCTTTCTCATTATCTCTCTCTCCATCCATCCATCCACTCACCAACCACCCCTCCTCTCACTTTCCACTTCCCTCTCCCTGGTCTTTATCCGTCTCTGTCTCTCCCTCTCTCCTTGTCTTTGATTCTCTTTCTCTTCCTCCCTCTCTTGCCCCCTCTTCTGTCTTATCTCACCCTCTTTCCCCTTTTTCTCTTTTATGAACCTTGGTCTATCAGGATTAGCAGTGAGCCTGGCTGGACCTGCTTCCTGGGAGAGCACAGCGGCCTGTGGGAGCTGACTGCTCTGCCTCTGGCCTGAAGTCTGGTAGGCCCTTGCTCTACTGAATTCACAGTGGGATTGGGGGAAACTCTGGCTGAGGATGGGCCACTCCTTTTCTTTACTAGAGAATATGAAAATCGTGCCCCAGATCCTCACACTGGGTCCTGAGGTGGAGGGAAAGCCAGAGCCGAGTCCTGGACTCATCCGTCTTCCTTGGAGCACCGCCCAGGGCTGTCTGACTCCGCTGCTCTTTGTGGACCCTGTTCTTGGCATCGAGACGCCTGCTGCTTCATATCCACATCCAGCTGCTTCTTCTTTTGTGATGTGGACACTGCTTCCTCTGCAGATCCAGGTTTCTTCCCCTCGGCAAGTGACTGTCTCTTTGCCTGCATCCCATCCATCCTGCTCCCTTCAGGCTCATTCCTCTCATGGCACATGGGCAATTCTACGAGTGCCTCAATGGGAAATGATCAAGTTCCACCTCGTTGTCCTCATTTGGCTCCTCCTGACTTCTTCATGTCTCCTAATTGTGAACTGACTTTAAAGTGCACCTATTTATCTGCAGTTAAAGCAAGTGAAAGACTGTATTGGCCTGGTTAGAGTCCCAGGACCTCAGTCTTCAGGGATGGACCAACGGCTGGTGTCACAGGTTATAGAAGTGTTTTAAATCTGGTGGAGCTTTTGTTGAGAAGCAAAGTTTTTCTTTTTCTTTTTTTAAGATTTATTTATTTGAAAGTCAGAGTTACACAGAGAGAGGAGAGGCAGAGAGAGGTCTTTCATCACTGGTTCACTCCCCAGTTGGCTCCAACAGCCGGAGCTGTGCTGTGCACCCACATGGGTGCAGGGGCCCAAGGACTTGGGCCATCTTCCACTGCTTTCCCAGGCCACAGCAGAGAGCTGGATCAGAAGTGGAACAGCCAAGACTTGAACTGGTGTCCATATGGGATGCCAGCACTGCAGGCAGCGGCTTTACCCACTACACCACAGCGCTGGCCCCAGCAAAGTTTAATTGCCTTTTGATCACATTTTTTAAACACTTTTGAAACCTCCTGTTATATGATCAAAAGTGATATTTTTTATTCTCAGTTTTAAAAGTTAAATGCCAGGGCCAGCACTGTGACATAGCAGGTAAAGCCGCTGCCTGCAGTGCGGAATCCCATATGGGTGCCAGTTCGAGCTCCGGCTGCTCCACTTCCGATCCAGCCCTCTGCTATGACCTGAGAAGACGGCCCAAGTGCTTAGACCACTGCATCCATGTGAGAGACCCAGAAGAAGCTCCTGGCTCCTGGCTCCAGACTGGCCCAGCTCTGACCATTGTGGCCATTTAGGGAGTGAACCAGCAGGTGGAAATGTGCGCGCTGTCTCTGCCTCTCTGTAACTCTGCCTTTCAAATAAATAAATCTTTAAAAAAAAAAAAAGGCAAAGGAAGATCCAATTTCTACTTGCTTAGATCCCATTTGAAAAAAAAAAAATTAGATGGCACCACTGAAATGCTATTTCTTAATGAAATTTAACAATGCTTGAAGTGCATTGATTTCCGCTCCGTTTGGCCTAAGTGTAAGAAGGTGCCCCTAGCTCTTTCCCTCCTGACACAGCAGGGAGACCACTGTCCTCGGTGGCCCTCCCCAGTCCTCCAGTCCTCCCTTCAGAGAGAGGAGACACGTCTCGGGAAACCCTACATGTGTCACACACCACTGACAGCCCTGGCTCTGGAGGCAGCACCCGACCCCCAGCCCACCCAGTCTCCCAGACCTCACACCCTGCCTGGCTTCCCCCCATGTTCTGCTGCCCGCCAACCTACGGCCAGCTACAAGTTTGGCCTCTTCACTGCCCGGTGCTCCCCAACACCTGGCCAGACTTCCTTGCTATCTGGAGCCAACACCACATGGACCCGACTCTCCTGCTCACCTCCACATACCCCGAAGTTTCTCTAAGGAGTTAACAAAAGTCCACTTGGGGAGCAACCAGGACCAGGGAATGCCATCCCACATTCCATCCTGGTGAACTGCCACCTGGCCTTTGACGCTTACTCTGCAGGAAAAGCACCAGGTTTTACCCAAAACCACAGCTCCTTTAAAAGGATGTCTAAAGGCTTCCCCTTTCTGCTGTCTCCTTGAAGAATAAATAATTAACATTAATGTATATGGGTTTAAACTATTTATTTTGTTGCTTCATGACGTGCTCAATTCTTACCAGGAATCAAGTTGCTGAAGTACCATCCACATAAGAAATAGAGGCTCGAATCAAAGAGAATCATCCAACAAACCCAGCCGAATGCCATGCCCCCGCGTTCCGGGGCCTGGTACATGTTACTCCACTGGATCCCTGGCAGGGAGGAAAGGGTTGAGTCAGCGCCCTGCATCCTCGCTCCCTGCAGGCCCTGCTGGCAGGAGCTGATTAGTTCTTGAGGCGCAAGTAGGGCTGAATGTGGCTAAAGCCAAAGGGAAGCCAGCACCACTGCCGTGGCTCTGCAGGAAATGCGGGCTGTAGGCTCACAGCACTGAGGCCACGTGCAATGACCATCAGCGTTCTAACATCAAACACTTACACACATTACAAGTTAGGTGACTAATATCTAGCTTTGTTTACTCAACTAGATTCATTGTGTGGATGCTAAGCATGTTTGTAACAAATAAAGAGGTCTCCTTGAGAACCCAAATTCTTGCAATATACTCCTGGATTAAACATAATTAAACATATTTCTCTACTCTAAATTTTCCTGTGGTATATGCTTGAAGTAAAAAAGATACAAGATTTAATCAATGAGTACTTGTTAGGACCATTTTTCCCCCATATCTTTTTTTTTTTTTTTTTAACAGGCAGAGTAGACAGTGAGAGAGACAGAGAGAAAGGTCTTCCTTTGCCGTTGGTTCACCCTCCAATGGCAGCCACGGCTGGCGCACTGTGCTGATCCGAAGCCAGGACCCAGGTGCTTCTCCTGGTCTCCCATGCGGGTGCAGGACCCAAACACTTGGGCCATCCTCCACTGCACTCCCGGGCCAGAGCAGAGAGCTGGAAAAGGGGCAACCGGGACAGAATCCGGCACCCTAACCGGGACTAGAACCTGGTGTGCCGGCGCCGCTAGGTGGAGTATTAGCCTAGTGAGCCACAGCGCCTGCTCCCTACACCTTCTTTATCCAGTTGAATTTAGAGATGAGTTCCAGGAATACAGAGAAAATCATTCAGGATTCCCATCTGTTAAAGCACGAATTTTACTGGAAGAGTCAGAGACGTATAGGACCAGTGCAGATTAATGCAGGAATTTCACTTTTTGATTATATTTTCCCTTGAATATCTTCAAAAACACATTCAAAAGCCCATACACACATCTAGGAACATGCATCTATACTGAGGGATTGCTGTTGTCAAAATCTCATTGTATGTGAAACGGGCGCCCCACAAATGTGTTAAAAATCCTCTTGGGCTTCATTGCTAGGGATAAAATGAACAGTAGACAGCTATGCGGTCTTCGGGGCCGCTTGGCTGTGTCTGGATGCTAACCTTTCAGGAAACGTCCAGAAGAGCTGAGGATGAGCATGAGATCCGACAGAAACAAGAGTTCTGACTTGAAAGAAGGAACCAGAGAGGCCCACAGAGGCCCTGGGAGCCACCCCCAGTGCTAGTCCTCCAGCAGACGGGACGCACAGAGCACCCCACTGTTGGGAGAATTTGGAAGGTTACTAAGGTGACCACAGGTCACATGTCACAAAGATGACCCAGGCATCAGCAGGGTGGTCGACTTGGATCAACAGCCAATCAAGGGGTGTCACGGTTACTCTTCAGTGTTCCCAAAAACTAGGACAACCAGACTACGGGAGGTATTTACATCAGCAAAACCAGTGACAGCTTTCTTTCCAAATGTGCCATTTGGTAAGGAGACCTTCCACTGAATTCTTTGCAACACAACCACAAATTTCTCAAAACCTGAGTTACTAAGAGTCACTTTTTAAAACTGCAACCTCTTACCTGCCTCTTGTCCCTCCAGGAATGTAATGAAAAATACTCCTTGTCCAAAGGCCGTTGTCGAGAAGAGGCACTGCCGGTGGATTGATGGGATGAGAGAAAACCGGCACATTAGTGTCCGACTGGGACCGCAGAAAACCCACAACACTAAATTCAGAGAAAAGCCAGCACACCCTCAGACTCTAACAACGCCAAGTCACTGCTGCGGGAGGTCATTTAAATATCTGAACCTCAAAGACTCGTGGAGTGTCAGCCTGCTCTGAAATGTGTGATAACAAGCTAGTTTTCAACGTTAAAAGGAATTACTTCTCTTTATTGCAGTGCTTGAAGGGTCATAAATCCAAAGCACTGTGTAGAGAAACGTGCAGCCAAAAGCAGTGGAAAATGGAGCAGAGCAATTTACTTTGCTTCATTGTGAAGCAAATGCCCTGGTGCACACCGTGGGCAGGGGAGGGGATGGAGGCACCATTCCACAGGAGCAGAGCAGTGCACTGCAGGGAAATCCTGGGTTACCTCCAGCAGAGAGGTCCCAGGACAGAAAAGAGCCCATTGAAAAAGCCTGGTATGTTTAAAAATACAATGTACCAGAGTTAGATGTTTTTCACCTGCTAAGAAACATGTGTATATGTAGAAAGGAAACCATGTTTCATAGGCACCAGGTCATTAGATAGAAAGTAGATAAATTATTAGATGTAAAGTAAAGGCAAACTGACAGCATTTAAAATTTAGGTCAGAGCACCAACTTAGAGGCATGTAGCAGAGGAACCCCGAACAGGCCCACCTGTGTCTGTCACCCTATCTACACCTACTTAACACAAGCACTGTGTTGTTGGTACAGGTGTGACATAGCTAACCATAACCAAGAAGTGTGTGTCAATGGACAAACTATTGGTTGAATATCTATGCTGTGTGTGGCTAGTGGAAACCAAAGAGCATGGTGCTTCGCAAGGTGCTAAGGTTTGATGTAGTTTGAGGGGGCCAGGTGTTGGGAGCTTGGTCGTCAGTGTGGCAACGTTAGCAGGTGGAACCTTTAAGAGGGGAGGTGATTCCCTCCTGGAGTGAGGCTTCCTGCGAGCAATTTCCTGTGAACGTCTAAACCTGACCCCAGAGTCCCTCTGGCTTCCTGATTGGTGCATGTGGCTACTTCTTCCCACATGCACTTCGTCATCTACCACGGGCCATCACCAAGGCTCTGCTACGCTGTTTGGACTTCCAGCCTCCAAAGCTGTGCACTAAATAAACCTCTTTTCCTTAAGTAGCCTTTCTCAGGTGCTTTGTTACAGTGATAAAAAGACCCAATACAAATAACCCATCACAGGTGCAGAAATGCACTTCGCCTCCACAGAACTACTTCACTCCAAGCTCCGAGTGAGCAGGGATGGTGGCCCCTCCCAGGGACCGAGCTCTGTGTTGGATTCAAGGGCTAGGAAGACCCTCACACACCGTCTGTAGCGGCTCTGTGATCCTGCTTGCTAGGCACCTCCTCAAAGAGGTTCCGGGCACACTCCCAACGCTGCCGTCTGAGGCAGCTGCAGGATGTCAAGTGCTGAGCGCAAAGCAGGTCCCCGCAGTTTTCACACCAGCTTTGTAGAGGAGCCCAAGTGACCAGTGAGCCCCTCGCCAGCTCCGCACTGCGCTCACAGGCACTAGCCACAGGGAATGAGTTCCTCTCTCCCACGCGCTTCCCTCCACCGACTGCATTTTAAATGGATGAGCACCTCTGACGTTGCTAACGGAAAGATCTCCCCACTTAATGTGCTGCAATCCATGACGCTCCAGGAGCAACGCTATGCTCTACTTCTGAAAGAGCTTTAAAACTCCATTTCTTTCCACGCATGCAACAAAGAGAAACTGAAGTTGTACGCTGCTTACAGGTGTCGCTCATCTCCCTGAGTCTCCCGCGAGCCCCTGCTATATTTAAAAAAAAAAAAAAAAGCCATTCTTAATGGGCTGCCGTTGCAATACCACTGCTGTCTCGAAGAACCGTCTCTGAGCTTTGCAGCCGGGGCAGAACAAGGGAAGCCCAGGCAGATCTGAATACAGTAATCGGGAAGGGGAGGGCCCTGGCTTTGTGTGGCTGGGTGGGGGCAGCTGTGTTTGTTTCACATTTTTACAAACTCACTCACCAGAAACATCTGAACCACAGGACTCAGCTGGTTACGCAGGACCAAGAGAACTATGTAGGGCAGAAAGCTGACCATGTACACCAGGCTGGTGCAGAGGGCTGCCGTATTCGCACGGTCGAAAAGCGTGCTCAGGAAGTAACTCAGCATGATGATGGACACCCCAAAATCCAGGAGGTAGAGGAAAACGACACAGGCGTTGCTGTGCGTGAAGATGCCGCTGGTTTTCAGGACGATGGCCAGGGCCGCGCTGCTCACGGCCAGCACGGCCACGTTCTCCAGGAACCAGGCCAGGAAGTAGGTTGTAGGGTGCACGCCCATCATCCGCAGGTACTATCGGGGGGAAAGGCGGGAGTTAGCACAGTAGCAGACACCAGGCAAGGAACAGGTCAGACAACAGGAGAGAAAAGGCTGACGGATGTGGCAGCACACGCAGCCCCGGGAGGGAAGCCGGGGAGGACACCTCCTCCCGGAGCCTGGCACTGACTCTCGAGCACCTCACAACCCCGCCGTTCACCCGGACGCAGACGTCCAGAGCGCCTGGCTGGAACACGAGGCAGCGGGACAGGAAGGAGCAGGCCCCTTAGACCCAGGCCTGGCCCACTGCAGCCTCCACGCATTTCCTCCTTCCTCTGCAGTTTGCGGGTTTAGTGTTCTCTGGGCTTCCCATTTTGTTTCTGTGAGGACAGTGAGAGAAGAGAAGGGGAAACACGGGGCCTTCAGGCCCTCAGCTTGAGGTCCGCACCCAGCTTTGGGGACGAGTTTGCAGGAGGCCCTCTTCAAAGCCAGTGACCCACCGCTCAGCTCACCATCGGCAGCCTGCGGACTTTCAGGCGGGGCCAGTTTGTGAAATGAGGACAGTGGCTCTGAGGCCTGCACTCCGGGTGGCCACTGGCAGTGCAGAGCCTGGGGACTTAATGCTGTGTCCCCAGAGCCCGGCTCCCAGGGGCAACAGAGTTGAGGGAGAAACAGAGACTCACCAGCCAATGGGCTGGAAACTGACGAATAATGCCAAGAGCAGCAGTGCCAGTTTACACAGCACTCGTAAAATCGGATGACATGCACACATGACTTTCCATGCCATTTCTTCACTTGAACAAACCTCCGATAAGTAAGCAAGTGCCGCTGCCTGGACAGCAGCCAAGGACTTCTTAAAAACTTCCATTCTTTGGGGCCAGCACTGTGGCATAGCGGGTAAAACCACCACCTGCAGCACCAGATTCCCACACAGGCACCAATTTGAATCCTGGCTTCTCCACTTTCTATCTGGCTTTCTGCTGTGGCCTGGGAAAGCAGTAGGAGATGGCCCAAGCCCTTGGGCCCCTACACCTGCATGGGAGACCTGGAGGAAGCTCCTAGCTCCCGGCTTCGGATCAGTGCAGCTCCCGCCATTGCAGCCATCTGGGGAGTGAACCAGGGGATGGAAGACCCCTCTCTATGTAACTCTGCCTTTCAAATAAATACATCTTTAAAAAAAAAAAAAAAAACCTTTCATTCTTAGAAGCATTTGTGATGGTTTCAAGTTTTCACATTAGAACAAAAACAGTAAGGTTTTATATAGAAAACTCTAACCATAAATTAAGATGGGGAAACCTGATACTAAGTGTTTCTAGGTTTTGTAATTGATGAATGAGTAACACTGGCTCTGTCCCTCCAGTCTCCTCTGCTTATTGTTCGGTCTTCTTTTATTTCAAGGAAACCTGTGCTAAACTCTACCCCAAACTTCGCCAAGCAGTGATCTTCCTGGGACAGGGACTTGGCCGGACCAGCACAGGGAGGGAAGGCAACACAGACAGGCCTGGTCAGTTACTGGCCAGGATGTGTTTCCCAGTTCCAGGGTAGGTTCTGGATTTTCCGCCTAGGCTAAGGTTAGGACACGTTACCTCTTCTATCTGGATCTCCCGTTCATAAACCAGCTTCCGGACCATGCTGGCCACAGACACCATCCAGGTCAGCATCATGATCAGAGGGAAAAAGAAACCCACGTTGTTCAGGAACCTGTAAGGGCACAAAGCAGTCAGCATTCACAGGTAGCAAAGTGCTCTGCCCAGTCGTGCACATGAGCCCTGGGCCTGGAGGTCCTTCCATTTCTCGCACAAGCTACAGTGCACTTCCAGGAGTCCTGACTCGTTTGGCCATGTCACAGGCCTATGATGCAAGCATGACAACTGTGATCCCGACTTAATTTCATAGGCACAATGTCACAAAGGAGTTCCCAGCAGGAAACAACGGTTTCAAGGTAGCCGTAGCCTGACCCAAATCCTGACCCTGGCTACACCCAGAGCAGGCTGGAGGAAGGAAACAGGTCACCAATTCATGACTACAACTTCTGTCAGTACTCTGGAACAACTCCCTCTCTTCATGATCTATTGATCATGAGTTATCATCCATCAAATCGTGAAACTCCAGACGGGCACCACCCTTTCCCAACACACACTCTCCGGAGCACTCTCACCGGGCTCCAGTCCCAGCATTCACCAGGACACCAATGGCAGTCCCGGCTCTAAATGCAGATCTTGCCGCACTGGCCGCCCCCACCTTCTCTCAGCTCCCCCATGGGCCCAGGCTCTGTCGCTCCCCCATTCGTGAAGGAACGACACTAGACCCTGCGCTGTTCTTTTGTCTGTTCGGCCCTCCCCGGGTTTGCTGCTGGTTCTTCCCGGGTTGGCTGCCAACCCTTCCACCTCCGTGGAGGGGCGGCTCCCCCTGCCACTTTCCCCACTTCTGCGGGGCAGCGGCACACCGCCAGCCGGCTCTCGGGGCTGCTCAGATGTTATCCGGATGTTCCCCTTAGATGTTCCTGGTGCATGTTGTCTCTCTCCTCCTTTATAGTCCTCTTCCGCCAATCCCAACTCTGCTACCCACACGCCGAGTACGCTGCTCTCCTCCAATCAGGAGCAGGATCAGCTCCTGCAGCTCATCAGTCAAATTGGCAAGAGGCAGCTGTGTAGAAATGGTTTACTCCTCTCCCAGCGCCATATTGTGGGAGAGCAGATGCATAGAATAAGTCTTAATTCCAGTAACTTAGTCTAGTCCGAGTTGCTCCCCACAATTCCCCCTTTCTTTTTATTTTTGGCGTTGATACGCGCCTGTCTTCGGTGCCCCGTGGCACACACTCTGCTCTGCTTGCTAGAGTTGCCCACAGGTGCTTACAAGCCCTACCAATCAGGCAAACCGAATCCGGGTCCTCTCTTCGCCATGTTGTGAGGAGGTTTTTAGGCGCTGATGCGTGCCTGAGTTCAGTGCCCTGCAATGCATGCTCTGCTCTGCTAGAACTGCCTGCAGGTGCTTATCGCCTTAATCAGGCAAACCAAATCCGAGCTCTCTCATTGCCGTATTGTGGGGAGACTTATTGATGTTGATTCGTGCCTATCTTCGGTGACCTGCAGCTCATACTCTGGTCGAGCTGCCTGCTGGTGCTTATTGCCTACTCAGGCAGACCGAATCCGAGCTCTGTCATTGCCATGTTGTGGGGAGGCCTTGTTTTTCTCTATTTCTCTACCTCCGGGCATTCCTATCTCTCCTATTTTACTTCTATCTGCCAGCATTCCTATTTCTCTCATTTTACTTCTAAACTTCCGTTTCTCTTATCCCCGTGGCTTCCCGGCGCCCGCCCCGCAGCGGCTTCCCGGCTCTGGGCGGCTTCAGCCCGCGCTTCTCTTATCTGCGCAGCTTCCTGGCTTTCCGCGGGCTCCGCGGTCTCCGCGCCCTTCGCGCCCGCACCACGGCCTCCGCGCCAGCCCCGCACTCTCCTATCTACTTGCACCCCGTGCGCTCTCTCCGCTCGTGCCCCGCGCGCTTTCTCTGCACGCAGCGGCTTCCGTGAATCACAGCCTAGCTCACGTTTCCGCTTCTCGGTTTAGTTTTCAGTCTAAGTTCCCCGGGTTAACCTGACGAATTCCAACCTAGCTTACGTCTCCGCTTTTCGGTTTGGCTTCCCGTCTTTTGCTCCCCAGGCTAATCTGACGGATCCCAACCTAGCTTACGTCTCCGCTTCGGCCTGCCCCTGCGGCTTCACTTTCCCTAGCTTATATCTTTCTCTACCCGGTACTTTTCCCTAAGTTTCTTCCAACAATATTTCTCTCATTTCTCCTGGCTTCTCCCCACAGTCCGTATCCCAGTCTGTTTCTTCTAGCTTTCACTTTCGCTTTTAATCTTAGATTTCTCCCAGCTTCCCCCCGTAGTCCGTATCCGAGTCTATGTTTCTTCTTGCTTTCATTTTCACTTTTAACACTAGATTTCTCCCGGCCCTCTGCCCCTTCACCCCACACACTCTGATTTCTAATCCAAGTATGGATTATTTTATTCGATGCTGAAACCAACCAAATGAGCAAGTCGTGTTTGGGGGCTGTGCTACACAAGGGAACCCAACAGCACACGGTCTCACCATGAAGGACCTCCCATTCTGGAGAGGGGTTGGGTATAAAACAAGCCAACGAGGAGGAGATCCATCACCCATGTCAGGTGGTGGCAGCAGTGAGGAAACACCACAGCGCAAGCAACCGTGCGAAGGGGTGCGACTCCACCCAGGCGGGTGAGGCGAGCTGAGCATGGAAGCAGCGTCTGAGCACACGGCACATGCCGTAAGGAAGTGAGTTCCCTGGGTGTCTGCAGGAAGCCACCCCAGGCAAGAGGTCTCAGAAGCAGCAGCGGGGGAGGCAGGTGCAGTGCCCAGGTCAGCAGCAACAAGGCCCTCATGGTTAGCAGGACATGGGGTCAGAGTGTTAGTGGGGGCCAGATCATGGGGGGACTTCTGTGTGTCAGGGTAAGTTCTAGAAGCCAGTCAGTGAACAAGGGGATGCCATGAGAGGATTTGAAGAGGAGAGAGGAAAACTGAGAAGTGGCATCAAGGGACGAGTGGACGTTTTTTAAAAGACCACCAGCTGCAGTGCAGACAACGGGGCACATGTGGGGAAGTCCATTATGGAGAGGGGAGCCAGCAGCCAGGGTGGATGTGTAGCTGTCTAGACAGGAGACAAGGGCACCCCGACAGACAGTGCCCTGGAGACAGGGCAATGCCCAGAGCGGCCCCTGCTGCCATTGCCTGCAGTCCTGCAAAGACTTCTACCCAGCGTTAACCACGCAGGGACCACACTCGGCCCCACCGAGATCTGCCCCTCACGGGACAGTCTGAGCTCCTGGGGCTCGGTCTCCTCACTGGCCCTCCCCTCGTGGCAAAGAACGCCCAGACCGGAAGCCAAATGTTGGCCAAGGAACACATGAAAGAGTGAAAAAGAAAAGGAAATAAATGGTCTTATTTACTGTTTTGCTAAAGATAAGTTGAGTCATCAACTTGGTGAACCACATTTTACAGTTAAATATGGGTAACTTCACCCAGTGTAGGGGCTGTTCAAAGAGGGCAGAGGGCTTTAGATTTTCAGTTCTGCAGCTTTCTGGTTTTTCTTCAACCATTTTTTTAGCATTCAGAGCAGGTAAGAAGGCTATGAACTCAAAGTATCACAAATGCATCCATTTTCACATCCTACAAACCCTGTGTCCAGAGTAACACAAGCAACCACAGAGATGAACTCAGATGCCTGTAGATTATAAATATTTTCTTTGTATTTATTTATTTATTGACAGGCAGAGTTAGACAGTGAGAGAGTGAGAGAGAGTGAGAGTGAGAGTGAGAGAGAGAGAGAGAGAGAGAGAGAGAGAAAGGTCTTCCTTCTATTGGTTCACCCCCCAAAATGGCTGCTGCAGCCGGCGTGCTACGCCAATCCAAAGCCAGGAGCCAGGTGCTTCTCCTGGTCTCCCATGCGGGTGCAGGGCCCAAGCACTTGGGCCATCCTCCTCTGCCTAAGAGGAGCAACCGGGACTAGAACCAGGGGTGCCGGCGCCGCAGGCGGAAGATTAGCCAAGTGAGCCATGGTGCCAGCCAGATGCCTGTAGATTAAAAACAGGCCATACCAAGTTCACTTGGGGATTTAGAAACTTAGCTTGATTCGTGAATTTCCCCTCTGACACTGTGGCAACAGAGTTGATGGCTTCGAGCTCTGTTCTCACAGCATGATGCTGAGTATTATCTAAGACTCGACTCTAGGCTATTGTCTGGGTCAGAATTCTGTGTCTTGTGTGTGGCAGGTGGACTCCTGGAATCTCTAACGCAGAGGTCGTAAGAGGTGTGGAACTGATCGACTCAGCCCTGCAATTCCTAGAGAAGAGCCTCAGATCCGACAGCACAGACACTGCATGCGCATGTCTGAAATGGAATAAAATAAACTGGAGATGAGCAACTACGAGCCATGGCTATGCAAATCAGCCTTTTCCCTACCTGCTCCTAGAAATTAATCCAACATCAAGAGAGAAGGAGAAAACTACATATTCCAGTTTCGATAAATATATGGAAGTGGCACCCAAGTATTTCAAAGGCTGCCAAAATAATGAAGCTCATATAGGAGTCACACAAAAATGTAACTACGAGGGATTTTAGTAGGAAAATCCTACTCTCTGCAGATAACAGAATGCACATCAAAAATACACTTCTTAGTCTAGCTAGTGGCCCATTCTGAGGGGCCAGACACGTACAACTGCCCCAGACAAATGAGCACTAACTGAGCTCCCTCTTGCAGGACAACAGGAGAAAGCCCATGGGAAGGATGCAGGAAGCACTCTGGCAGCGGAAGAGTGCCTGCACGGGGTGGCCGGGAACGCCGCCTGTGTGCAGCCACCAGTCCCTTGCGGATTCTCCATGTGAGGAGTAACCACAGCAATCAAGTCCAGCACTGTATCTGCACAAGGAAGAGAAAAGAGGCTAAAATTGCCTAAGTATCGAAAAAGGAAGAATGGATGCCACAGTGACGGTGACACAGAGCAACTGAAAATAGCACTTGTATTTTTTTTTTTTTTTGCCATTGATTTCCAAATACGTAGAAGGCCAGGCCCTCTGTGAGAAACACCACACAGCAAAACTGCTGGAATGGAGTGATGAGGGGACATGACAGCAGAAAGACACAAATGGGGAATTGGAAGCACATAGAAATAGATACGAAAAAATA